AAATAACTAAACCAGGTAATCAATAAGGTATTATTTATTACATCACCAGTGCTGATAGACTGTTATAATTCATAAAAACTTGTGAAGGTTATTGATTTTCTAAGACAGTGACTTAAAATTGAGCTATATTTTCAAATCACTGAGTTTATATGAAACTATAGTCATTATAACAAAGTGGATTTTTTAGACAATTTAAGATGCAACAATGTCAATACATATTAAAGGCACAAATATATCTGGGTTCAGAACATAAATCTGCATATGCTAATATATCAGTTGTTATGCATGAAGGGGACTTCTTGTTCTACAATAAGTAATGTACTTGTTTACAACCCTATTCAATATATTCCTCTGAAAGTTCATAAAAGCATGATAAACAATGGCTCAAGATTGAAAAACTCAAGTTTTCCAAGTGCAATAAAACTATACCTGTCGATTCTCACAAAGGCTCTTTACAATTGTAACAATAATTTGGCAAAGCAGAGAATGCTTGTTCAAATGAAAAAGCTGACATTTTTAATTTCCATGTAGCTCAACAGCTTGTTATTTCCAATAATACTAAATCAGCATCAGCATCTTGTCTACTTTTCCCAAAAGGAACACTTTATTCACTATAAGGTTATGTTGTTCATTTTAATCTGCAGGGCAGCAGAAATGATTTTTTTTTTTTAAATGATGAAATAATTAACTCTGGAAGGCAGGAAAAATGTGTATTTCTCCATATGTATAAAATCCTTTCAAACAGTACTGCTAGGTAGGAAAGAAAAGTTAACTACCACAGAACTCTATGACAGGAATTTATTAGAAGCATTACTGCTGTATTTCGACACTGTAGGTACTTTCCCTGACACGAAAATCTCCTTCCCAGCAATTAGTTATAAGTGTACATCGACTTTTGATGTGCATGTAGATTTGACTTTGCTTTTGAAAGCAGAGCAGCCTCCTTTCTTCTTCTGCAGGGTGTGTTGTGTTCCCCTTTAGAGGTCATTGGTGTAGGAATAATGCTGGAGGAGGAAGAACTCCAAACAAATGTTCAGATCTCCCATCTGCCATCCTGGTCTCACAGTGTGACCTAAGGAAGGTCCACATCAGGTCAAGGGTGGAAACTTTAGAGGTTCAGCTTTTCTGTGGGTTTCTGTTACCCTCAAGCTTTCCTTCTATGGAATCAGGAAGGGTGGAGAGAGAGTGAGAGACACGGCTGGGATGCTCATGAGATTCTGCAAGCTTCTGGGTTTGATCCTTCCATGCTTTTCACTGCTCTGACAGTAGCATCTCAAGGTTTCCAAAATATTAGAAAAAAGGGGAGAGGCAGCTTGGGGCTACAAAGCACATGGACGGGATGCCAAAGAAAGTTCTTGCCAAGTACTCAAGCAAGAATGGGGAATGGTACAAATTCTCTGCAACTTCATCTCCCCGGCTGTCATACAGGGCTACCCAAAAATTGAGGGTTTCATCAACATAGGCACTTTAGCAGGTACAGCACACCAAAAAATACAAAGAAAAAAAATTACAAGATTACCACAGCCAACAACAAACAATACAGATCACCTCTAGCTACCCCTTCAAGAGATTTCAAATTGGTTTTTTAAATGAAGTGTTTACTGTAATACTGAGAAATAAATTGTTCTGTTAGGTAGCATGTGTCTTTATAGATTCTTATGTGCCACAATTTGTCTCTCATCCAGAAGGCATCTTTCCAATGTGTTTTTTTTTTGTTTTTTCAATATTAAAGAAAAGAGCCCCTTACCATTTCCACAAGCTTGCTTAAGTACCAAGAATATTAGCCGTCTGAAATGTTTTCATGTATGGGTGACAGAGAAAAAGGTACAAATGGATCCTAATTCATGCTTAGGTAGCTCCATTTTTGGAAGGGAAAATGAGCTATGTAAAATTTCCTGAGGCAAGAAAAATAGGTTTTTCAATACAAAAGTCTGCTCTTATGGGAATAATGAGAACAACCTTTGAGTTCCTGAAGTATTATAAATTAACTGTGCCATCCTCAGACTTTGTGGTCTATTAAGGTATGTGGAGAGGGAAGAAAAGATTTTCCAATAACTTTAATGACATTGGACATGTTTGGATCATGATACGTATATCTAAACCACCTGGACTGAGGCAACTTTTTTCCTTCAATTATTCAACTTCCAAATAAAGGATTTATTTATGCTTTTTTCTCCCCATAATCTATTTTGATAAGGGAGGATAATATAGATCTTTTGCAAAAGTGAAAAAAGAAATATATATAAATTAACAGCGATTTTTTCCCCAGAGATCATATTCAAAAGTCAAAGCAAATAAAAACAGAATGGGTTTAATTATCCATGCTTGTATCTCAAACATTGCCACAGGATCTCCAAAAAAATGTGGTCTTTTCAGCAGGTCCTGAGACTCTTTAAAATGAAAGAAACCACAAAACCCAGCACTTTCGTAGGTTGGTAACAGGAACAAGGCTTTAATCTAACATATCTCAGGGAATCAAGGACAATAAACTTCGACCATTACCTGTCCCTTTCTGAAAAATCAGATCCAAAAGGCACTAAAACACACACACACACACACCCCACACACATCAGATTGAAACAATACAAAAAACCCAGTCTTCCTCACTTACCAGCAGGCTGGTGTGAGTTCTCATTCCCTTGGCCAAGACCTAATTAAAGAGGTCCCTGTAAAATATTGACCATAGAGAGAACTGCTGCAGTATGAAAGGCTACTGTCCTTAGAGGTGCTTGTTCACACACTCTGCAGAAAGGTACCAGCAACACAGGAGAGCCAGCAGCACAGAGGGGCAGAGCCTCCTGCACCTCCCCCGGGGCAAGGATGGAGCAACTGCCAGAAGCTCTGTAGCGTATGATGGAAGAAACAGAATCCTGATAAGTTTTTGAAACAAAATAGCAAGAAACACAACTTAAGGTATAGCAACCAAAAAGCATATTTTTTAATATCAAGGAAAAAAATAGTAATTTCTGTGCTGGATAAGTCAAGCCTTTATTGCTAAACCAGCTTAAGTTAAAGCAGGTGGCAAACTGCTATACTCTGTAACCAATGAAAGCATAAAAATCAGTTTCACAAATTATTTCTTAGCATTCCAGTTGTAGCAAGCAGGAGATTCAGGAAAACTTATTTTAATTAAAAACTTTATTTTTCATTACAATTCACAGTTTATACATGGCAAGAAGAACCCTTGCCATGTGGACATTCAGAACACTGTGCTGGGGAGACAAGGGTCTTTGTTATAAGAGCATTGCTCGGTGCTGTGTCATGGAACTTTCTTAGTTTTAAAAGCGTACTCTCTGTAAATGTTAATTGACTGATATTTACACTGAATGTACATATTAACTTATATTTATTAGAAAACAAGCTAAGCATCCAAAAAACATGAACATTCATATCTCGCATGTTATCTAATGGTCAGAGATGCTGTAAGATTTGCCACTTGAATCATGCCAAATCAGCAGTGTCCCATTTTTTTTCATTTACAGAGCCTAAATTTTTCTTTAAGGCCTGTTCTACTCATTTTATGTACAGCCAGGTTACAAGAGACTAACATAAGGAAAAAAATGCAAAATTATCCATTCCATCCTGCATTTCTTCTGAATCTCATGTACACCTATAAGCAAAACAGAAGGTACAAAATTAATGTGTTTTCTTAAAACCAATAAAGAAAACCCACAGTCTGGTTCAGATCTGCTTCTTGTCAGCCTATCCTGTCTGAACAATCATCGGTATTCAGATTGTGCTATTTATCAGCTCTTCTTCATGCCTGCATTGATATTCAGAGCCATCTCTATGTGAAATGTAGAAAGTCACAGTGATACCAGTTTCAATTGCATTCCCACGTTAGCCACAGCTCTGGCACAGGCAGCCCACGTGACATTCAGGAAAACACTTCACCAGGATTCCTGGGTAAAATATCATGTAGCCTTTGGGGTGACTTGGCTTAAAAAGGAAATTAAGTATCCTTTTTATACCAAATATCTGGCAGAAGGTTTATGTTTATTAAAAATAGCTGTATTCTTCTGCATTGGTTTTTTTGGATGCGATTATTAGAACACAGCAATTTAAAGCCTCCCCTTGCCTCTCATCAAAACAGTAATTTTTACTTGCTCTTTATAATTGCTCAAATAATTTGGTGATAGATAAGCTGCAGATTTTTTTGGTACATCTAATGCACAGAAAAACAACTGCTGAACACTGCTTGGAAAACTAAGACCTGAAAGGTCTGCAAATCCTACAAGTCAGCATGAAGGGTCTGCAAATCCTACAAGTCAGCATGAACAAGTATCAGCTGGACCTGAGTAAAACAAAATGCTTCTGGGGGACAGGTTTGCAACTTTTGAAACTGCAGTGCCTTTAAATTTGGAGCTAACAACATCAATTGATGATTGTTGAGTTTTGGCATTCATTCATGCTGGTTGGTATCTTCACAACAGACACCTTTGAAACACCACCATTTCAAGAACGAAAGGCTTAAATGAAATACACTTCTCATGCAAAAAAACCAAACAAATAAAAGTTGTACAGGAACTGTAGAGGTTCTGATTCTTCAAAAGATAAGGCACTGACCAAAATTTCTTAGGTAAAAGGCTGCATAAGAATTTCTTGCCATTTACAAATGTGTTGTAGTCCAGAAATGGTCCATTCCTAGGCTCAGTAAGGTAGACCCTGAAATTTTAAGGACTGATCCCTCAAAGCTACATTGTTACCATAAACAAGTGAGATTCATTTGTGAGGCCATATGGCACATTAGAAGTGAAAAACAGTCTGGGCAGGTAAAGGCAGAAAACATTGCTTGTTCCAGCATCTTTTGGAAACAGCAGTGCCATTCATCTATGTGTCTCTGAAGAGATACAATGGTAACTCGGGACTGTAGTTTTTCTGTGGAACTCATGCACACATATAAAATGCTGCTAGCACTGGTCATCGACAGGGTGGGGAAAAAAAGGTGTATGGCTAGTCTAAGCCAAGAGCTTCCCAAGGGCTGGGATCCAAAGTCATGGCTACTTAATGTTCTCGATCACGGCTATCTCTTCCGCTGCACAGTGCGGCGTCAAACCATTCATGTAAATGCTGTCCGTCTTTGTCAGAGCTGGCAAGAGGTCCTTCTCGCTGGTCAGGTGGTTCACTGACAGTGTTCTCTTGCAGGGGGTCAGATCTTGGTTGTGGTTGACGGCAAGTTCTGCAGAGAGCTTCCTTTTGATGGAGGTGGCTCGCTGGAACTTGTCGTAGATCTCCACGCTCAGGCGCCTTCGAGTCTCCTTGAACTCGGCGGTGACATTTGCTGTCCACTCTGCAGCGTGGGCTCTGAACTCCCCCACCTGCAGCAAAAAAAGCAATAAAAAGGAAGCATTATGGCACCAAGGACTTCAGACACTGTTTATCTTCAGGAGCATGGAGAGAGTGCAGGGCTGCCAAAGAGCTGCTGCTGCCACTAGCACAAATTTCTCATGCCAAAGACTCACTCTTTTATTGACAGCAGCTAAAGAAGAAATGTTGCACTAGTAAGAGTTAACAGGTCCAAAATCACAAAAATCTTTTCGGCTGATTTTTTTTTTTACTGTTATCACAGGCAGACAGCAATACAGAGAAGTTGCAGAGGCTTGACAGTTGCACAATACCTAGCTGGTCAGGGGATGCTGAAATCCCAGCAATCCAGGCTGTGTTATGTATTGTTACTAGGGTAAGAGGTTATTTATGAGCACTTTCTCTGTCTCTGGAAAGATCCTTGGGAGACTTGGAAAAAATTTTCTAAATTTATACAGAAAAGCTTTTTCAAAGGAAACCATCGGCTGTTTGCATCCTCTTTCCTGTGCTTGCTCAAAGACAGCACCAACACAGGAACAGTTAAAAGTCACCTCAGTGGCATGTCTGCTTCCCAGCCTGAATCCCAAATCATCCTTATTTTTCCCCAGATATGGCATAAGGTAAACTGAGCAGATCTAGTCTGAGGTAAACTGTGGCCTGTCATTTGTTTACTATTTATACTTTTGCACTTGCATTTCAGTCAAACCACTGCTACATTAAATAAGTTATGTAGGTAACTAAAGGAGGCACCTTTTGTTGATATTATCTCATTGTAACTCAAAAGGAAATAGATTGTTTCTCTTTAAATCTCTTCTCCCTCAACAGCTTAATATTGGGAAAGTATAGCACAGGGAATATAGTGAAGCATTCCAGGAGAATTTAACCCACATAAATTAGTCTAATTGGTACTGTTCAGTCCAGAATTTCAATCACTGGCAAGCAAACTTTGACTTAGTAAGCAAAGAAATGAAAAAAGAATTTACACAGAGAAATATAGGGGGCAAACCATCAGAGAAAAAGCCACAAGCTTATTCATGCTTTGCAGTGCAGTGGAAAACAGGAATATAATGAAGGTAAAAATTAATCAGCTCATCCAGGAGTGACAGAGTTTCAGGAAAACTTTCTCCCCTCCAGAAACAAAACAAGATGATCTCTTTACCCAAGGGTCATTTTATTACATTCATCTCCACTTCAGTGAATTACACAGATGACAAATGCAGACAAAGGTCTGTTTTCTAAAACACGGGTCTGCAATACACAGAGGACTCACCTAGCTGAATGATTATTAGTATTTAATTTGTGCAGCTAGGATCAGACACACTAAACTTCAGATCTGAAAATAATGAAATCTACAATGCTGAAGCATCTCAGCTGCTCCAATATTTTACTTGTAGTAAACAAGTAATAAAAATATGATAAATAGTATCAGTGCACACCCTGGAGCAGTTTTTTCCTTTTCCTAAGCCTTACTAAAGGCAGGTTGCCCAGGTCCTGGACAATGGCTCTGTCTAGGGGGAGCAAAGAGCCAGTACACAGGTTTCCCCTTTACTGTATATATTTGTGCCGCTCACCAGTTGTGTAAGTGTTTAACAGACCAGGTATTTTGCTCAGGCACACATATCTGGCATTGCATTTGGGCACATTCAAGAGATGCTATCAGGATTTAAAATTATTCTTTCAATTTTTTTTTTTTTTTTTTTTTTTTTTTTTTTTTTTTTTTTTTTTTTTTTATGTTCCCATGTGATTTCATATTTGTCCAGGAGAGACAATCAACTGGCCTTGCTTCTGAAGTAAGCAAGTTTGTGTGATAAACTCAGAATGTTCCTGGTGATGGACCTGTCTTGCACAGGGCAAGCTGTTCCTGGACATTCAAGTTTTTCAGGAGAATCTTAAAATCCTACTAGTTGGGATATCTGATGTCTGAATCTAGTGAGATTTCTTTGGGGAAGCAAGTTCATGCAGCCAGCTGAAGAGCATCAATAAATGTGCCTTTGGAGACAGGCTCATTCCAATTAAGGTGGTGTGGAACACTAGCATGGTGGACACAATTCTACCTGCCCATACACCAAAGTTGTGATGTTGGTTTATATTAAAATTCTTGGAGAAAAATACAAATTGAAACATGCTGTTATTAACGCTATTGCTAAGTAGAATCAAGATGCATTAGTAGAAAAACAGAGAGACTTGAAACACATTAGGAACCAGGATTTCAGTGCTGTTTGAACTATGCATGCCCCAAATCACTGCTTTTGGCCCCTACTCTTCATGTGAATTGAGATGCATTCAAAAATATTACCTCTTTGAAACAAAACTCTCAATTCCATAGCACTTCCAGACTCAAGCTGGGTTGTAAGAAAAGGATTATAAGAAAAGAAATGTACCGTTTTGACTACCAGTTCACATTAGTACCTTGCTTATATAATTTGATCCCTCCTGGATCCATAGGGACATATCTCTAATATGTTCAGGTTCTTTCTGTCCTTAGGTTATGACATTTTAACAGACTGCATTACAGCTCCTCTTCATCTGGGCTCTAACAACTGAAAAATGTCTCATGCCAGTTGCCTGTGCTGCTCAAAAGAAATTAAATTCTTGGCATACCTACATACTGTAACAACAATTTACTTTTCTCTAGATCTCTTGCCTCGTTACAGCACAGCTCTGTAGACTCTGTTGCTGTCATAGTTGGGGGCAGTGTGACATGAGGACAAGGCCTCTTAGTCACAGAAATTATTGACAACTACATACTTAACATAAGGCTGAATGTCACAGAATATTTCAGAAGCAATAGGAAAAACATGTCATAGTGATAGCACCTGACTCAGTCATACAAGAAGCAGCACTAATTTGGTGATTCTTCTCACTTTAACCTTCAGGGAAGAGAAATGCTACTAGTAATGGGGACACGGTCCCTATCCCAGCTCCTGTATTACTTCCTCCACATCAAAATCCAAATTAGACTGCAAGGTGTTACACATATTTCACAAGGAGTATCAACCTAGCTATGCTGAACATCAACAGCAAGTAAAAGTGTATTATGTATTTAAGAAGCAGGAAGCAGCACCCTACTGCCTTATGATTTCAGGGAAGACAAGCCTCAATAACAAGTTCTCGAGAATTATGGTATATAGTAACACAACTAAGTATTCCACACAGCACACTTCACCAGAAAACAACAACAACAACAAAAACTTAAAAATAAAAAGACACCAGAAACCCAAAACAACCCCCAAAACCCAACACCCACAACTTTTCCAACAAATGAATAGCATTGACCCAATTCCTTGCCCAGCCCAGGTTGCCTGTCTTCCAGCTAACACTGCCAGGGCATCCCGTATGACCTGCACCATATCCAACAACCCTGGGAGGATGTCTCAAATACCACAGGTCATGTCCAGTAACAACTCCAAATGTCTGTGCCAATTTATGTGCCTACCTGTGGTGGTGATGTCACAATTACTCATTTAGCATATAATGAGAAACTGCCTCTGAACCATTTGTGAAGAGTGTTCTACTCATTCTTGTTAAAGTCACTATTGGGTTTTTTGGGGGGGTTTTGTAGTGAAAAGCAGACAGACACCAATAAAGTACTGCATGAGCTTCCTGAATGACCAAACAGTTTCCCAGGCTGCACACATACACAATCACCAATATAACTTCAAGACAGATATACTGAATTTGACAGAACTAGAAAAAAAACATGGACATTAAGTCACCACTCCTTCACTTACTCCTGCCAAAATCCATCTAAATTAATAATGTTCTAGAACTGGCTCTCAGTCAATATCTCTAACAGGGTCAAAAGTTCCTGTGCAGTTTCATTTCTACTGTGTTTTAGCTTTCTCTCCAGCTGAGCTCCACGCTTGGGTAAAGGCCAACAGCATAAACCAGAATGCAAGAATGTAGCAAAGGGATGCTATTGTTGAAACTAAAAAACCATTTGAACTTACTGAAGCACCTGCCTTATCCTTCAGTACATTTCCTCTCGTTCCTTATACTAGTCAAGAGTTTGAGAATCTTTCCGGACACTCACAAAATTATCCAAATGCTAATGCATGCAAAACTCCCCACCGTTCAGGAAGACCAGTCATCCTATTAAGTACCTGGAAGGCACAAGCCATGTAGCCATATACAAGTAATCTGTATTTTGAATTAAGCCACATCTGTGCTCTAGCAGGAAAATAAACAATCAAAAGCATAATTAAGGACATCCTTAAATAGACCAAGACAAATGCACTTGCCTAACTTAACTTTGCCTTAGCTTTGCTCCTCTGTCACAGGGATATTATTGAAAAAACATCACAGTAGATCAGTTAATCTACTTCTGCTTACAAAGGGGGAAGAAATATATCCTACTTGTAGGAGCTCAGATATATGATATGAAAGCTATTATATACTCAGGAGGACGTATACCACTGAGTAGAAAATAAGAAAAAATAGCATTATATATGCCATGCAAGAAAATGAAAACATATATTTCTAAGTAATGTGTGCAGCTTTTTCTGTCATAGCTGATCATTATATTGTTTCCCTTTGGCATACAGGGCTCATACATTTTGTGATGAGCATGTTAGTGCAAGCCAAAAAATTGAATTCAAAAAGCAAGTAGATGAGCTGGTGGTATCCATTTGACTACATTTTAGGGTGAAAAACAGGTGCCCTTCCTTACAGATATTCTTAATGGTCTAGATGTTTCCCAGTATATAATTTCTTGCATTTATCCCTAATGCATTCTCCAAATTTTCATAGCTTCATTTTTCCTCTGCAGTATACTTTATCCTGCTACTTAAAAATAACACATCCAATTAACCTCTCTATGATATGCTACTCAGACAAAACTAGAAAGTGCATTACATGTCAAATTATGCAGGCAGCAGAATACAGAACATAACATTTTGCCTTAGCTCTCAGGAAATTCAGCCAGTGTTCACAGAAATTGTTCACAAAGTTCCTTTAAAAAAATGTAGGTGCAGAGAGGGGTGATGGGTTTAACAACTCAGCTGCTGGGTAGGTT